CCCCCCCCCCCCCCCCCCCCCAAATTCACCGACTACTCTTTCCCTCATTGAAGTAGTAGGGAGAATAAAAAACCAATTGAAAAGCATATGAAAACAGGAAAAATACACCATAATTAGGAAATGAACGCTATGGTAAACAGCACAGCTCAAAATTCCAACGCAGATGAAATAATTAAATTAAATTGAAAATAAATGGAAAGCTATGAAATTTCAGCGTAACCATGCAATTGTAAAGTTTAAAAATGAAATCATAAGTATGCCAAATAGTCAAATTTAATTAATTATCAACTGATTTATCCACATACCTGTCCTTATTTTTTTTTAAGTATTAGGGGCCACATGGCTAGTGCTGTCGCCACGACAGTGCAGGTGAGGATTTTATTTTAGCCCCGGTTAAAAAATAAAAACACTACTGTGGATCGAACCCTGGTCTCCCGGACAGGAGCCCAGAGTTCTAACCATTCGACCAAGCAGCCACTTCATCGGAGAAACAAAAAGAGAACAAAACTATTTGAGTAGTGTGTCCCTACTACATTGTCCCGATTATTATACAACTCAAAACAGCAGGCAATTATTTTCTCATAGACAGATATTCCATATATATTATCGAAACGGCACAACAATAGAAATCGCACGTGTTAATGTCGCAGTCAATGTCAGCGCCGACGTCGAGATAGTCCTTGATGCCCCCTCCCCCCTTTCCCTTCAAATCCATCGGCTACTTTATAACTCATCGAATGTTGTTTAAAAAAGAAAAAAAAAATAGAAATCGTGTTTAATATGGTTATTGTGGCAATCATTGCCTGCTCAGATATAGAGATGGTCTTGTTTGCTGTACCACGGCCTACTCTATTTATTAGAGAAGGCGTTGGCTGTACGTATCTCGCCGGTGAATGGTGGAAGTCTTGCGTTCTGACTACGGCGCATGCGCATTTACTAACGTGGCTATAATTAACTGTCACTAAAAATGTAAATATTAGTTTCGAAGATTTTCCCAAAACTTGTCGCACACTATCTCTAACAATGACAGTTTGAATTTCAAACCATGATGGGTGAACATCCGGTATCAAAACAAACATATCCTGAAAATTTCAGCTAAATCGGTTCAGTAGTTTCCGAGTCTATAGCTCATAAGCAAACACACAAACATTGATTTTTTTATATATATAGATACGTAATTTATACGTGAAACACAGTTTTGTTTATTGCAAGTGTCTTTACATACACAGGCTGGCATGGACACCTATGATAGTGGGACCCTCGGGAAAGTGGTGATGGCGGCGTCCGTGGCTTAGGCGTTACGAGTTGGACTGGTAATTCCAACGTACCCCAAACTTAAATACTAAAAGGATTCAGAGGTCCTCGTACCTAGGCGAAGGGCAAACATACGTGATAGCAGGACAGATGCTACACAGTTCACCAACCGTTAAGAAACCCCCTCATGGAGCACAGTTATCAAAATATTATTATCATCATCATCAGGTGCCTTGCCGACTGGCGTGGGCGATCATGCCTCTCCATAATCTGCGATCTCCTGCAGCATGTATCAGTTCGGGTGCCGACACACCTCCATGCCATGCAGCAAGACTGTCAAGCATCTTCTCTCGTTGTCTTCCTCTATCCCTTTTTCCACAGATCTTTCCAGTGGTCACAACGTGTTCTATTTTCCCTCTTCTCATAACATGGCCGAAAAATTATGACTGTCTTATTCTGATGACTGTGATAAGTTGTCTTCGGGCTCCCGCCTCTTTCAAAACCACTTGGTTGCTCTTTTTGGCTGTCCAAGGTATTCTAAGCATTTTTCTGTAAAAACCACTTCTCTGAGGCCTCTAAAAATTGTTTGGCCTGCCTACCGATTGTCCAGGATTCACATCCATATGTTAAAACTGGATGTATGTAGCAAGCAAGAATTTTTTTTCTAACTCTCAATGATAAGGATATATTGCACAAGATGTTTTTCATTTTATAAAATGCAGTTTTTGCCTGTCCAATTCTGTTTCTTATTTCAGTTATGCATTTTCCATCTGATGTTATCCATGTGCCCAGATACTTAAATTTCTGTACTTGTCCTAAAATAACACCATTGACTTTTATTACACACTTAGGAATAATTTGTTTCTTTGATACCACCATTACTTCTGTCTTCCCATTATTGAAACTGAGGCCCATTCTTCCACTTTCTAACACCACAATGTCTATCATTTCCTGTAATTCTTTCTGACTTGTTGCTATCAAGACTGTGTCATCAACATAACGTAAATTGTTTATATTGTGCCCACCAACCACAATTCCGGGCATATCAATTAAAGATCTCATTATATATTCACTGTATATTGAAAACAAATCAGGCGACAGTACACATCCTTGTCGTACGCCCCTCTTTATGCTTTGAAATGTACCTAAACAGTTGTTTATTCTTATAGCTGCTGTTTGCTGCCATTATTTTATTACAATATATATTATTATATAATAATATTATATCTTACTCTTTTGTGAGTATCCTCAAGATCAAGTGCTGCCACTAGTGTCTATTCTGGAACCTCTCATAAACATCAAAAGCAAAAGTAGCTGCATTTGACCAAGTATGTTTCCTTGTCCGGCAACTACCCAAACCTTTTTTGTCTATTAGTTTTCCATTTCTCTTGCGCGGTCGGCTCTTGATACTACTGTCGAAACCAACGCAGGATATTGAACCTGGCACCACGGCACTACTACGAATCGCGTTCGCAATGCCTGAGCCACAGACGCCGACACTGTAGGAGTAGAGAGAATTAAGTTTACCTGAATAGTTAGTTAATTAGTAAGTTAGTTAGTTGGGTTATCATCATTGCACGCCGGGTACGTTCATAGTTGCTCAGATCCTCCCCTTAGTATGAACCCCAACGTCCGATGGCTAATAGTACCAGTTCTATGTTGATTAACAAGTCTTCTGGTGTCTGGTGTGCATTTCGTTTTTTGCTATGCCGATCTTAATTCCCAAGTTTGTCATTCTAGGGAGTGATGTGGGTCCATAGGCTGACCGTCGGTAGTAATAGCGGATCCAGCCAACCTATCAGCTCTTTTATTTCCATCGACTCTTGCGTTTCCCGGAACAAAAATAAAGGTGACTCCACGCACAGTTGACTTCTGTAATGATTCAAACCATTGTCATCGCACCGAACCTGCCTAAACCCTCCGGATCATACTCATTGAATCACTGAGTATACCTATGCGGGTGTTGTTTTGTGTTTACAGCCATGCGAACTCTTGCGTCACTGCCACCACCTCCATCGTCATGCTGCTGGTTGTCATAGAAAAGGTGCCGTTGGCTTCTTTGACTTTTCTGCCCACTTAGCGTGCTGTGAATGCCCATACGCTTCTATTTTTGGCGTATAACAGATCCGTCTATGTAGATTAGTGCATCTACTTCGTCTGAATTTTCCCTGATGAGAGCGTTGACCTCTGTATCAACAACAACAGGATTCTCCTCTCTACATCGCCTGTTGAGTGTGGCAATACAGGAAAATGTACAAATAAACGCATGAGGCACAGGTATCCACTCTGCACCAGGAGTGATGTCGGTTAGGCTGCGCTGCATATTTGCCTAATAGCATCTTCTGCCCGACCTAGCCATGATTCTCCCCTCTTCAGACTGTCGCCCTTTTCACTAAAAAGCACTTGATGCAGTGGGTGTTTATCAGCACATATTTTAAGGTATGCCCAAGCCCTCCAGATCCTGATCCTTTGATTAATAGTTGGAAAGTCAAGTAGATACCTCATTGCTCCACAGGATGTGTCTCTTGTACATCCCAAAATAATGCGCATGGCTTCATTTTGCGCCTTTTCAAGTAGTTCAATCTGGGTAGCACTGACAGTGAGGATGGCCAGAGTGTATTCAATGAGGGAAAGGACCAGACCGTAGAGTAGAAGTATTAGTAGTCTTTGCTCGATACGGAAGCAGCCATAATCCTCATCGCAGATAGAACTTTGCGTGCCTTTGTTATCACATGGTCAGCAATGCCCTGAATGACAAGCTGCGATCAAACCTCACGTCGAGAAACGCCATAACGTTGGTTCTGATCAACACATTATCACGCATTTTCACTTCTGGTAAGTCCGACTTGACAATGTGATTGTTCAAAGAGAACCATGACACTGATGCCTTCGAAAGACTGACATAGGCAATGGAACCATCAAACCAGGCGGCAATTCGATCGAGTTCTTTGTGCATTGTGCTGGCAATCTCTATCACGTTCTCATCGATAAATCAAAATGTCATCAGCAAATGACAAAGTCCTTTCCTTTCCATTCAACTGCTGCTCAGTGATCATCACCGTATACACGCTGCCGCACAAGTCTCTTCTTTAATCTGAAATCCCTCGTAAACATCGTAGGCGAAAACTGCAGCATTGAAACATGTCTATTCAACATGTACCCTCCAAGTGTTGGTGGAAACTTATATAGAGTTACATTATTTGTTGCATGATTTTGCAGATAAATTGAAATTGCGTTTGAACAAGACAGATCTTTTAATAGTCTAAAGGTTTTGTTTATAATTCTACTCATTTTGCGTGTGCATTTTAACTTTAAAAAATACAAAGAGAACTAATATTCTTAATTAATTTTCGCTGGCATCTGATTTGTATTGTTAATTGCATGCACGTTTTACTCTGGAATCATGCCATTTGAATTTGTTGTTTGTCGTGAATGGGAAATATCGAATTTTAAATTTTTGAAATAACGTTAAGACTTTCTATCCATTTTTAAAGAATTTGACTATAATGTTAACAGTTTTATAAGTGTTTCTATATGTTTTAAAATAAAATTACATAATCCTTTTAGTAAAAGGTGTAAAAACATAAATGATAGCCCTAAGAAATATATATTTAAAAAGCGAGACTTTTAACCTACGAGCCACGCAATGATTACAGCCTCGTTTGAAATCTGGAAGCCCGGAGGTGACGGACGCCATTTTACAGTTTTAAGAATAAGACGGCAGCGTGAGTAGCTGTGATTTTAAAATGTCGAAGGCAGCTGTAAACACCACCCCAAATAAACAGGACAGTAACCAGTTCAAGAAAGAAAACAGAACACCAAATGCTAGTGCGCAGAAAGATGACAAAAGGCAGTCATCTGATAATTTCACAAATCAGGGAGGACGCGGCCATCATAGCCAACAGCATGGAAATCAACACCAGAACCAGAGCCACAACCAAAATCAGAACAGAGACAGATCGGGGAATCGAAATGACAGTCACCAGTACGATAGAAATGCTACAGAAAACAAGTCAAATGACAAGGATGACAAAAGTTTGGCAGAGCCAGCTGCAGCTACCGAAAAGAAATTCACTGGCAGATGCAGACTTTTTGTCGGCAACCTCACTCCAGACGTGACAGAGGATGAATTCAGGAAGATGTTTGAGCCTTATGGCGAAGTTTCAGAAATGTATGTCAATACAGGAAGAGGTTTTGGCTTCATCCGATTGGTGAGTTTTAAACAGTCTTCAGCTTTTTATCCGTTGTAAACCTCAAAGAAAATTTTCCCCACTAACAGGCCAGGCCTATCCCAGATAAAAAATAAAAATTGGGCACTCCTTGCAACGGCGACCCCAGTAGTTAATATTACTACTCCAGACTTTAAGTGGCCATTCTAGGGGACATACAGTGTTTGTGTAAGTTAAAATATACTCCGAATAACGGTCCTAAATTATCTACGCAGAAAGTGAACCCTAACAGAGCCTCAGTCATATCTAAAATTCGCATTTCTTTTGCGGCGAGTCAACATATAACTGAGGCCCTGCCATAGGATAGCCCTATTGAGTGTATTCTTGCGTTCCGCTAATTTTTCTGCCATAGTTAATCCTAGTTATGCCGCCGTTTAATCGGCGTACAAAAAATCCGTTGTGTTTCGCGAAAATGTCGTGCGCAATTGTACCTGCTTTTTATGCGGTTGACTCGCGCAAAAGAAATGCAATTTTAGATATGACTGTTAGGGTTCATTTTCTGCGTAGATAATTTAGGACCGTTATCGGTAAGTTGTAGATTTCCCCATTTTCCTCATACTTTTCCTTCCTTATATTTTCTGAGTTACAACTTTTAAATCTTTGTAGGGCATCACGTAATGAGGCTCTGTTAGGGTTCACTTTCTGCATAGATAATAATAGGACCTTTATTCGGAGGAGAGCCTACTATTCTTTCAAATGTAATATTGGTTAGAGTTAGGGTTAAACACAAGTACTAACCTTACCCTAACATAAAGCAATATTAATTGTTACAGATCATTATTATTATTATGCGAACACACTGATACAATGAATTTTGTGTCTCCCTGTTGATCGCCGTAAATAATGTTTGATTGCATCCCCCTAGGGTTGTCGTTGCAAAGAGTGCCAAAAATTACCTTAAAAAAAATTACATACGCAATTCTTTGCTGTCATTTAATTTTTTGGCTCTCCTTTAAATAACGGTCGCTAGCTGGAAAGCCGACGGTCGCTTAGTGGGAGTTCACTCCCTTGGCTGCATTGCAAATATGGAGTAGAAAAGTCACGAATCAAAAACAAGGTCAACATGGCAGTTAGACATCGTGCTCTGACTCACATTAGCAACCACGTTCTTGCGACGCATGACTTAGTTGCCACGGATGTTACTCCTGCAGATCTGTATGCCTTAATGACCGATAAGTTTGCGTGGTTGCGGTGGCTAGCTGAGCATAGACTTATAAGGAACATGCAGGTATGTACCTCCTGCGACCGACCTATGTCCTTAGCGCCTCGGCAGGACTGCTGCGACAGATACTCTTGGCGTTGTCATCATTGTCATACTCGGTGTAGCGTTCGCACCGGGTCGTTTTTCGCCAACTGCAAAATGCCGTCGAGAAAATACTCATGATGATGTACTACTGGCTCTACGGCGTCAGTTCGACTGTCATGATCTTCGAGAGACTCACAACCTGGGCCACCATTGTAAACTACACCAATAATTTCCGACAGGAATGCTATAATTGGATGTTGAGACACACCGTGGAGTTGGGAGGACTCGATGAGACCGGCAGATCTGTCGTGGTTGAAGTAGACAAGAGCTACTACTTCCGACGAAAGTATCAGCGCGGTCGCATCCGTCACGGTCGTAGGGCTAGTAGAGCGTGAGACTGGCCGTTGCTACTTTGAGGTTGTGCGAAGACGAGATGCGGCGACATTGGAGAGGATCATAACAGATCACGTCCTGCCGGGAACGACGATCGTGACTGACGCTTGGCGAGGCTACAGCAACGTCGCAAACTTAAAGCATGGCATCTGTCTGCACGAGGTTGTAGTCCACCAGACCAACTTCGTCGACGTCGCGCGCAGTCACATACACACCCAAACAATCGAAGGACTGGATGCTACTCAAACGGACAATTCGCCATCAATTGGGCACCAGTCGCACGCTATTGCCGTCATTTTTAGAATTCCAGTGGCGCCACTCCCACAAGCATCACATTGTCGGCCATTATTTGGAACTCCTACGTCAAAATTTTCACATCTAACCCTATTCTATCCCAAACCCTAACCCTACACCCTATGCAACCGTATGATGACTACGTAACCGTATACGCAACCGTATGATGACAGGTAAGTATGTCATTTGTTTCGTTCCCTCTTTACGCTCCGTATTTGCAATGCAGCCAAGGGAGTGAACTCCCACTAAGCGACTGTCGGCTTTCCAGCTAGCGAACGTTATTTAAAGGAGAGCCAATTTTTTAAACCCTTTGTATTGTATGGGATTTTCGTTTTGATTATGTGAAAAAGTGCTGGAAAATCCATTCATTATTTTATTCATAGAAGAGGATTAAAAATATCCAGGTTCTGTCGGAAAAAAGAAATGTTTGAAAAAACAAAAATCATGAAATTATGTTGGCCTAAGTGAATTTAATCCAGACTACTACTCTCATGCAGCCCAGAAGCACTACTCTCATGCAGTCTTTTTGATCTTAACTACGACTGTGTCAGAGTCACTTTATTATTTAAAAAAAAAAAAAAAAACTTTTGTGCCATGATGTTGATCCATTGTCTAAATGATTTTTTTTTTAACTAGATATCTTATAGGTAAGGAGAAAGGACACATAACCTTCTTATTTGAGCAGAAAGCAGGTTTCCCTTAGTGCAGATTATGAATGTAACAAAGTTTACAGCATTTGAAATTGCAAATGATAGGCTAATACTATAGTTAACAAATATTTGGAATGTAACTAAACAGGTAGATGTCACTTTTACTTAAGATACATGCCAAAGTCAGATACACTGACCTTTCAGGACATTGATTAGGTTTAAAAGACCAGAAGAAAAACTGCTGCTGGCAAAGAATTTAAAAAAAAACAAACAACCCTTTTAATGTTGCCTGTGGAAATCAAGAATATGGGCCAGTTTTAACAGTGCTGCAGACTCACTGGTGCTGCCGTGTGGTCTTAGTGTCCTGTTTTTTTTTTTTTAATGAATAGGGTTACAGGCCGCATATGTCAGAATCTAGAATTAAATTGCTTAGATATATTAATAAAGGGAGAATGACATTATTTTTCTTTAAAAATATATCTTTTAATATTGTCTTCATCTGGATTTTAATTGATGTTAAAAGTAATATCAAACTTCTTTAAAAAATGCTAATGTGTAAAAACTTTTTATTTTTTATTTTTAACGTAATACAAAGTGATTTTATTATGAAAGATATAATCCAGCAGACAAAATATGTCTGTTTAAAAATTACACACACTTGTGTCTATGAAAAATCAGAATGAGAATTTGAGTGAATAAAAAAAAATGTTAACGAAAACTTTTAAGTGATAGTCAGTGCACTGTAGTGCTTGCTCTTTGCCTATTGGTTTTAAGGAGTCATTATGCATTTTTAATTTATGACAAAAATATAAATGTCAGTGTTCATTTTTATGAAGTTCAGCATTCATAGAATCAATTACACACATGTTTTTGTCATTTGTTAGCAGTTTAGCATTCAAAAGTTAGTAACAAAAGACCTCACCCCATGAATATTTATGAAAAAAAAAAAATTTTATACCCAAAAAATTGAATTTGACATATTTTCAGCTGATTCCAAATATTGTAAGTAGACATTATATATCACGGTAAAGATCATTCCAACAGCTGGTAAGGTTTTTTGTTTGTTATACAAGAAAGCAAAAACTAACATTGCTGGCTAGATTCAAAACTTAGAAAGTATAGACCATACTTCATTAACTAGTATTTGGACACATTCGATTAGTCCATGCTAGAGATTATTTTGGCAACAAATATATTAAACATGTGCAGTGCAAGGGTCTTTCCCTCTGTCCCAAGATGATAGCTTTGTTTACATAAAGCCATTTGATGCTACTGTTTTAAGTGTTACTAAAAATCTTATACACGCATTCACTATGCTGCGAAAAGGGATACAGCTTTAGACACTACAATAGAAGCACACTAGAGGAATGAATCTAAGGAAACCTAGCAAATCATTGAATTTGAGCAAATTTCTTTACTTCTCAAATTAAATATATGATACCACTTTCTGATGGTGAATTAAATTTATGTGACATTTTCTAAAAAAAAAATTTTTTTGAAATAAAATATATTATACTTAATTTTCTGTTTCCGTTTTTTGTGCATCTAATATTCCTAGGACTCAACTAATTTAAAGACTAAAATCATTATTTTTGTGTGTGGATACTCGTTAATGAGCTGAAAAAAAAGGTATATTTTATAAAATCCCTTATTTGTTGACATATTTCATATTCATAGCCTTATTATGGTGCTGTATTTTGTGCCCTTTTTGGCAAACATATTTTTAATTAAAAAAAAATTATAATTTTTTGCAGAAAATAAACCATTCCATGGGCTCAACAGATGTCAAGTTCGTGAATAAATAATTTATTTCTTATTGTCTATGAAGTTTTAGGATTCAGCATTTTTTTGCAGGATTGGGCTTTTGCTGTGACAGCCATAATTTCTTTTTAACAACTTGGTGTTAAAACTCATCAAATATCTCTAAAAACGATTAATTTAAAATAATAGATCTGACATTGCTAATTAAATAAAAAAAAAATATGTATCATAACCCCTTAAGTATAATATAGCAACCATATTAAGGTCTATTAGGTATTGTTGAAAAAGAAATATTATATTATTTTTAGCTGTTCTTTTCTTCACAAGAATATTTGTTGCACTTTGAGATTCACTATTTTGTTTTTAAAATTTTCACCTGTGAATGCTTCAGTTAGGTGGTATGAAGTATTCAATTTCTAATTTCCTTGTGATAATGTATTGGTGCTAGTATTTTATTGAGTCAATATAAGTCCTGCGTTTCATTAAGCCTTGCATCGTTTCTGTTAGGTAATATAAGCATGCTCTTTGTACAATTATGAACTGTGCATTAAAAGCTATCTAGCCTGTTTTACTTATGCCTGACATTGAGAATGTCTTATTTGCTTCTATAAACACTAGGTCTTTATCTTCTCCAGGATTACAGACAGAATGCAGAAGCAGCCAAAGCTGCGCTAGATGGCCTTCAGAGAAAGGGTCGCGTACTTAGAGTGCGCTTTGCCAGTCACGGTGCTGCTTTGAAAGTGAAGAATCTCCATCCTTATGTGTCCAATGAACTTCTAGAGCAGTCCTTTTCACAGTTTGGCGATCTTGAGAGATGTGTTGTTATAGTGGATGACAGGGGGAAGCCAACAGGCGATGGCATTGTTGAATTTGTTCGCAAGCCTGGAGCCAATTCTGCACTGAGGCGCATTACAGAGGGAGTGTTTTTGATGGGAGCGTAAGTATATATGTGTGTATACACTCACACACACACATATATATTTTGTTGCTGCTTTTGCAGTTTTGTTGTCGGAATCTGCGGCTTAAGGATTTGAACAGTTTTGCTGACTCATTTAACCATGGTTAAAAGTCAATGCCAGGCAGTAGACTGTTCGGCATTATCTCAATGTTTAGTATCATGCATTTTTAGCATCATATCATTCCTAAAGGATTTTAAACTACTGAATGTAGTTTTCGCAGTTTGGCCTTTGGGAAGAAATCATGGCCTGATTTTTTTATGCTTATAATACATTGTCTTTAACACTACTTTTTATAACAGTGAGCAGTTTTATAAATGGATTTAAATGGGGCTTAAAAAGTTAAGACCTTGTTAAAATTGTTTTTAATTAACCTTACTTGTGGCCTTTTGCCTATTGTTTTTGAGTCTTGGTTGAAAATAAAAAGATATTTTAATTTGTCTGTAGATGCTTTTTTAATTGATTAAAAATTGTGTTTAATGACAGGGATCCAAAACCAATTGCTGTTGAGCCTCTGGAACAGAAAGATGAAGAAGATGGTTTGCCAGAGAAGTTCCTGACAAGGACTGACCAGTATAAAAAGTAAGTGGCAGAGACCTGCTTGTCTTGTCATTGCTGTTTTATTGTTGTATTAACATTTGTTTTTTCATTCTGCCCGCCACAGTTTTTAGGTAAGGCCATAGGCCCCTGTGAGGGCTGTGGTGCGACACATGTTCTCCACTGATCCATACAGCTTTGTTTAAACCAGAATGCAAACTGGCCAAACCCATATTTGCCACTGCATGTAGAGAGCATGAGGGCAGCACATGTTAGATATTCTCGGATGCCTGCTCACATGGACACAATTCTGAGTACCCAGTCTGCGGTGTCTAGTCCTCAGTCTAAATAGAGTGTTCTAATGAAAACATTGGTTATACTAGTTTTACTTGTATTAATGCTACTAATAGAAATCATAATTATAGTTCATAGTTGAAAAAATAAAATTAAAGACTGATTTTAAAACTAAACATGAGTAAATTGAGTAACTGGCATTAGAGCGACTTTTAAGAGAATAAATAAAGTGTTAAAAAGTAAGGATGCTTTGATTGTACTTTAATTTTGTGTGTGTTTAGCATTGCAGAAAAAAGGCTGAGAGGTATTTAGTTATTTAGTTATTAAGTGTGCACATTTAATAGACATAAGACAAAACAACACTGTCAGCAACCCCTTTGACCTAGCCCAAGTAAGATTTTAAAAAACAAACCTACTAGATAGCAGTTTTCAACCTGTGGGTCGTGACTCTTTTTGGGGTAGAACAACCTTTTCACAGGGGTTGCCAAAGACTACCACAAAACCCACATTCTTTGAAGTTATGAAGTAGCAAAGAAAATAATTGTATAGTTGGGGGCCGCCACAACATTTAAAGAACTGTATTAAAGAGCATTAGGAAGGTTGAGAGCCACTGCACTAGATCAACTATTTTGACTTTATTGTGGAGGGAAAAGAAAGAAAGAATAGACCTACTAATTCCCTAACACACATGTTGTAAGAGTCGACTAAGTAGGGGTTTCTTTCAAAGTAGGAGTGCATCTGCTTGAGAGGCAAAGAATCAAGTCTGCATATAATTTAGCTAGATCTGTGAAACGGATGTGCATGGCATTGAAACAAGGCTAGAGTCCAGAAGCAAACGAACAACCAGAACTTCCTGTCAGAGTTCACAGCTGGTGAATGCGAGTAACTCATTCGACACCTTTGACTTGACATTTTGTTTATAGGATAATATAAATATGGTAAGCCTTCTATGTACCAGTTTATCGACATTCTTGTCTTTTGTTATCAGGGAAAGAGAAAAAGAGCCGAGATTTGCTCCCCCTGGAACCTTTGAGTATGAGTTCGGCATGAGATGGAAGCAGATAGAAGACATAGAGAAGCAGCGCATTGAGCAGGTCAAAAAGGACACGGAGGAAGCTCGTCTGAAGCTGGAAGATGAAATGCAGAATGCTCTGTATGAGTACCAAGCTGAACAGATTAGACAAGGTAATAGGTTATTTACAGGGCTTTTTTCTAGGGTAAATAGGTGCCAGTACTAACCATGCGGTGTAAATTGCAGTAGCTCCCACACTTTTAACATATCCTTTGGTATCGTACAAGTTAACGGACTCAAAGTTTGCGAGTTCATAGTCACTGGATTTCAGCTGAGTGGCCATACATAATTTTAAAATGAAAGAAACCAAAAAAGTTGCTTGAAAGGAAGCCTTGGGTTATCACCCCCTATGTGCGCATGTGCATTGAAATATTTTGGAGTCTCCGTGGGCTGGATATTTAAGCTTTTTGCTATCAGCATAAAAAGAAAACTGCAGCCATTGCATTAACTTTTTTTTTGGATTTTAAATAATCATCATCCATACTAGTCATTCACTGGTTTCATTGTGGCCAAAAATGACCGCTGCCTCTGATCTATAGGATAAATTATCTTCATGATTTAGCCTCATTCTATTTTCTGTGCTGAGTTGTCATTGTGACTTAGCCTTATTCTTGTTTCTGTTAAATTGTCCTGGTGACCTAGCCTCATTCCTAGGTTTGCTTTAAATTGTGGTAGTGATTGATCTCCTTCCTATGTTTGCATTAAATTTCCCGATGACTTAGCCTCTTAACTCATTTCGGCCTAACAAAGTTAAAAAAAGAAATTCCCACTTTTACTTTATTGTGGTGTAAAACTGGAAACAGCAAGTTTTTAAAGATCTGGCTTTATATATGAATTTCGTATTTAGCCACTTCTTAGTGTATGAATCAGCTGCCTAACAGTTCTGTGTTATTCGCTGTGTTTGTGTATTTTTGCAACCTAATGTTTGTATTATAAATGGCAGTGTCTTGACCGGCGCCATGTATGTTGTTATTGACATTTTGTGTTTTTATGAACAGATCTGCGTCGTCAGCAAGAAGAACTGCTGCGCCTTGAAGAGCTGAGAAACCAGGACAGAATGAGAAGGCAGCAAGAACATGAAATAAGGTACAAGATAAGTTTCTTATAACTAACCTTTTTTTTTTAAAATCATGTCTTGGTGCATATTTAGTATAACTTTTATCAACCAGTTCTGCAATTAATGGGCCTTTACTATAAGGTCTAGCACACACTAAATACCCATACAAAGGTTTGGTAAAGTGCCCTTTACTGTGCTTATTATTCATAGTAATTTACTTATTGTAGGCCCGAGTTATTCAGCTAAGCCAAACTGTTGAAAATTGAGATTTTCATGGCAAGAGGCATCAGCCCTAGCCTAGAAAGATAACTGATACAGCTCAGGCGGCAGTGATCTGCAGGCCACTTGCTAAGCCTATACAGAACAAATTCTACCAATTCAGTAGCCCAGTAGGGCATAAAAAAAAAATGGTGGCTAGGTTTTTATTTTATTAGATAAATTTAAATATAAAAATGAGCTTACATTTTATTTAGTTTGTTAAAAATGTAAGTAACAAGCTCACCATATATTTCTTTGTGTTTCTAAAAATATAATATTCTTGCTGTCTACTGTCGCAGACATGTTTATAATAACGCTGTATATCTGTTTGAAACAAATTACTGCTTCTACCCCATAGTTTCCTTTGAAAACCTTCAGACCTAATTATTTATTACTTTTAAGCTCGACCTTTTGGGATATAAAGAGTAAAATGTAACAACTGCTTGATTCTGAAATAGTTTTAAGGTTTAAAATAATGTGAAGTTTGTTACAGGCTCCTGTAAATTTGTTTGTTTTGGCAGGCGCCAGCAGGAAGAGCGTGAAAGGGCGCAGCAGGAAGAGCGCCGCCGAGCTGATACCATGATGCTGATGAGACAACATGAGATGGCCAGAGGAAGACCAATGGATATTTCTGGAATGCGCGGGAGAGATGAAATGATGGTATGTGGATGTATTTTTCTCTCCTTGTAAAAGCTGGAGGACTTTTTTGATATTAGCTGTTGAATGATTCTGTAAAATATCAGCTTCTTGTTATTTAAATATTTTGTTCACCTTTAGCTTCGGGTTTGTATATTCTAGGGCAGGGCAGGCATGTCAGAATGGCTGTCCACAGGCTGCATGCTGCCCCTTACAAGCACACCAGTTGCACGCACCAAGGGAATATTCTGCATTAGTATGACTCCCAATTAGTTGTCGTGTGTGGCCCGCATGACCCATATTGCCCTCGGGTGACCCTCAGCTTGACATGTCTGTCCCAGAAGCACAAGAATGTTTTACAAATCACACCTACTGCCGGGGTGCTGACGGATGGAACCACACATGGTGGTGCAGCAGCGCCAGAGCTCAATTCGATTAGGACATCTGATATCAATCTGTCCATCCTGACCCTTTTTTTGGTTCTAATTATTTTTTCACAGTGGTTGCCTTAGATCATAGAAAAACACATATTCATTAAAGTTATGAAGGAAAATAATTGTTTTGGGTTTCCCACAACATAAGGGATCTGTATCAAAGGGTTGTGGCATTAGGAAAGTTGAGAGCCACTGGGTTAGGACCTGTCTACCCCTCTCTCTATGATCATCCTAAAAACAGGTTCCTAGCCATGGGGAGTAGCCAGCATAGATAGAGGGTTAATTTTTTTCTTCATAAAAGGGCATCTGCTTGAGAGGCGAGGAGTCCGTAGTCTGCACAAAGTAAGATTGTTAGGGCAGATGTTGGCGCAAAACTCTTGGAACAAGACCAAGGTCTAGAAGTGGACGAACAAACAGGATTATTCACCTCAGTTTATGGTCCCTAAACATGAAAGAAGACATCTGCCTTGATTATGGGCAAGAATATCTGGGAAGATTCTTGATTTCTTTTATCTCTCAATATATCATAAATCAATCACCTTCTTCTTTGCGTTAATGTGCTGTAAACTCGTGGTGGAAAATTCTAGTTTTTTGGCAACTTCTGGAGTCTTGTCCCAGAAAATAAGAGTTTTGCATGCATATCTATTTACAGTTTTGGTGGTTGGTGTGCAATTTGATCCTTTGCATTCCAGCTTCAAAGGAAACTCCTGATTAGTCTAACGGCATAAGTGTTAGGGGATGCAGTGGGTCTTACATCTTTTTCTTTCCCCCACACAATGGGGCTTCAGAACAAAGAGAGGAAAATTTGACCTCTACAAAACTTTGTAGATTTGTTTATGATTGACTGCAGTTGGTAGCTGAATTTACCTACAGGTTGAGCTAGTCACTTACTTGCCAAGCCTCCTTTAATGCATCTTTATCTAATGACATGCATGGAAGGCTACTGTAATTGTTTCCTATACACGAGCCACTTGACAGCTGTAACGTTAGATTTCAACCAGTATGTTTTAAGATGTATAGACCTATATATTTAGTGATGCTATACCTCCCCCTTCCCCACCACCACCATTACTCCAGACCTAGTTTTACACTTGAGAAATAAACAATGAAATAATGTAAAACAGATAGTGTCATATTTATGTGAGTAAAGAGGTATTTTCTTTCTTCCCTCCCATTCTACAGATGGTTGACCGCTATGGAGACCGCATGGGAGACAGAATGCCCGATCGCATGCCCGACCGCATGGGAGACAGAATGCCTGAGCGTATGGGGGAGAGAATGCCAGATCGCATGGGAGACCGAATGCCTGACCGCATGGGAGACAGAATGCCCGATCGTATGGGAGACAGAATGCCCGATCGCATGGGCGACCGAATGCCCGATCGCATGGGAGACAGAATGCCTGATCGCATGGGTCCAGGTGGCCAACCAGGATTTATGTGGGATGACAAACAGCGAGCAGAGGTAAGTTAACACATTTTTATGTTGCCTCTGATACAGATTTTGTGTGTGTATGTGTGGTTAGTTGCTTTAAGGGTTTAAAAAAAAAGACAGTTGGCTTAATTGTGTGTGTGTTTATATAAATTGCTCCCTAAATAAATGCCCAAGTAAAATTAATATCCTTTGTGAACAACTGTTTTTAATTTTACATAGGTATTTTGACAGAAACGAATTGTGGCGTGAGGGTTACAAAAATTAACATGTTTAACAAACTGAAATTAAAAGTGTGCATATTTTAAAGAGCATATTGGGAATCTAGAGGAAAACGTATACATATCTTGGAAAAATATGCAGCAGTGTGAAAAAGAAAGATGAGGTGCCAGCAGGCTGAAGCTGGACACATACTGGAGACATCTTGGATCGGTAAGTGTACAAGGCAGAAGAGCTGGCGAGAGACCAGACTTCATTCAGTCTGTGATTTGAGCAACTGTAAAGGACCTGCTGCATGACAGTGAGAGAAGAGCAGCGATGGAACTGGGAAACAAGTGTATAATTATTAGTGATGTTTACCATTTAGTTACCCTCATCATCCCCTTATTGGATGCAATTTTTAAGACCAACCCTGGCTTGTGCCTGGGGGTTCTAAATATGGCCAAACAGGTAAACAGGGTTTCCGGGACTTTTTCCACAGATGATCCTTATCCGCAAGGTGGCACTTTGTGTCACCCGGTCTTTGTTTATCTTTTGTGTGATATCCAGATGGGGTACAACTTACAAACATACATACTGTTTAGTAAAAATTCTCATCATTGGACAGTTAGTGTTAGTATTTCATAATTTGGTGTAGTTGTAACACTTCTTTTGAAATATTTATCTTTATGTGTAAGATCAGGATGGACAATGTTTTTAACATGAGTGTTTGCTGTAATCTGTTACTTCATATGTTAAAATGGTTAGCAGTGGGAATGTTTATAGATAACTTACCTGTGGATGTTATATTACCTTTTTATTTAATAATCTGTTTACTGTATTACATAATTTACATTTCCAAAATTTAAGATTGCAGTAATAAAAATTAAAATATTATAAGTGAATTGTTGTAGTTGTTCATTAGCTTATTAACCCCCCCCCCCCCCCCCCCCACACACACACACCTCCCTAAATATGTAAAATCCAGTTTATGTACTTCATTTTTGTAAAACACGCTAAGGCTAACAAGTTGTATTTTTTTGTGGTTCGGTTAGGCATTGGGTTGCTAATTCTTTATACAACATTGTTTAAAGACCTGACTTTTCTATGGGATAGTGATAGAAAAAGTGGGGAGTAGGCAAATAAGTGAAGTTTTTTTTTTGGTATTCTGGCAATACTGTTTGCAAATTAGAGCATACATCCAAGACTTAGGGGGCTATTGTTTCTGCCCTCTGGTTGTGGAAGTCCACCTCTGTATCAGTGCCATTTATTTTAATTGTATATGTTGTTTTTCACTCTACAAGTAAATCAGTGGTCAAAATAGTGTTCTTTTTTTACTGCACAGGCTGGCATGAGAGGTGACGCAGGCCGTGGTCGAGGGTCTGGAGCACCGCCCCTACAGCCTCCACCTGTACCACCCTCATCAGTGAATTTGGAACGAGGAGGAGGGCCCATTGCTCCTGCTGCTGCTGGTGGTGCAGCTCAGGGTAGAAAGGTACTTGCCTTGCATGCATACTTTGTGTGTCAGTAGATTGAAACTGGTCCAACACCCTGGATGTGCTATCACAATGAGTAGTTTTGTTCAGATACACACATTACTGAGCAAATACGTTTATTGCTTTTTTCTGTTTCCTCCCTCTTCCTTGTTGATGGCTTCATTGGGGACTTGTTTTTAGTGTTTATAAAGCATTTTTTTAATATTCACAATATTCTAGTGTTTAAATGTCATATGTTTTGCCCTGAGAAGTACTGTTATTCTTCACTGTTTGTTTATTAACTCCCTTGTACTAATTGGGAGCTTCCTTCAAAGTTGGAACAAGACTGGATTTCAGAAGTGGATGAACAACCAGAACTTGCCCCCAAAGTTTGCAGCCGGTGAACAAGTAGTAGAAGAAGATAAATATATTTAGAAAAAGTTTATATACTTAAAATGATTTTATTAAGGGCTTTAAAAAATGTTTTTAAAATGGAATTCCAGCGGGATCATGCACCCCCTTTTTTTTAGCATTGCTGGAGTGTAAGGGTTAAATTACATTTTACATAGGATCTAGAAGTTCGTGTCCTGCACTTTAACTATTATATCATTTTCTAACATAATTTCAAATGAGATTAGTTTGCCAAGATTCTCTGTATGATGTGTATTTTTTATGTCATTAAAGTTTTTTGTTATTTGACATGTATGAATTCTTTATATATCTTTTCCCTTACATTGTTTATTGCAGTCATCTAGTCCCAAACCTCTTATGCAGGGAAGTGGGTTTGGCGGTGGGCCAGGAGGTCCCACTGGAACAGGACCTGGTCCCAACACTCAGAGTTCTTCAGATGTCAATGCTGGGGTGAGTATTTTTGTTTGCTTGTACCAGGGCTAGAGGGATCTTTGAATTCATTTTGGTTCTACCCCCCCATCCTACACATCACAGCTAGCAGAATTTGCATTACATTGTCTTTCAGTGCATTTCTATATTATCAGATCTAAGTTTTGTCTAGAGTATTTCATATTTTCAACGATAAAGGAATAATAAAATTTTTGCACCATAACAAATTACGATTAACGGATTGTTAATCCAATAATTTTTTCAGTATTTTTGGGGGAATAAGACAGACATTTCTTCATTTATGTGGCCACTTTTGTGCATTTGCACAGTTTGTAGCTTAGTGAATGTGTTAGAACTTGGTGCTTTGATTTTATCAGCTGTTCAAAGTTTGATACATTTTCTTTTTTATTTGAGTTCAATTTTTGGGGGGTAATAGTTCTAATAATGTGTCTTGGGTAATTTGATAGTATGATAAAGAAGCTTTGTTTTTGTATTGGTCTGCATAGCATATATACTGTACTCAGAGCGGGTTTAAAAAAGCAGTGCATAAAGAAACTGGGTCACATCAAATAGTTGCAATCAAGTTTACCTCACCTCACCTCTATGGATTCCGGGGCCCCATGTATTGTGTCTATGTGTGTCTTTAGTTACCTACCGTTCCCCTAACAGTTTTATAAAAGGCGACTAATTAAGGGTTTGCTAAATTTGGATAGCTTGGTCTGGTAGGCGTTGATATCATAGTCTAGCTTGAACCATAACACAATGTTTTAACCACTTGTCTAAGGGTGAACACAGAAGTATTCTTTTGCACAGTGTTATAATGTTAAGTGACATTAAAAAGGCATTGTGACTAATGTCGTACAACACTGTCTTAACCATCACAACACTATGTTATTGTCCAGTCCTGCATAAAATATGTCTCATGGTTCCCTCATTTGACACTTTTAAGGTGTCCGTCTAATATGATCGAATCCCGCCTTATATTCCTTATAATTTTTCCTTTCTATACTGTTTGAATATCATTACAGTGTGTACTCGAAATTTTTGGAAGACTAAAGGTTACCTGATGAGTGAGCAGCAGAACGAGTTGAGCCTAAAGCTTTCATTGGTTGTTCAAAAGAACAGTGTCTTGATATTGAAAGTAAACTTTTTTAAATGTAAACTGGCTAAGAGTTTATTTTCAGATAATATTCAGATGATCTAGAAGCAAACACAGCGGACAGTATATAATATAAAGCTGTGGGAGACGTCTCCTGACTTCTGTGAATCTTTTTAAACTTTTTTTTTTTTTTAATTAAGGGAACCTGTTTTACAATGCGTGCAGTGCACATTTGCACATATGGTATGCTCCTATCAATCTCATGAAAGATTTGAATACCATTTAAATGTTAGGGGCATGATTTGTGTCACATGTAAGTTTTGTTGTTTAGCCACATTAATTCCCATGATGCAAGTTCTAATTAAAACCCGCCGGCGCCCTATCTTGTGACACAGTCGTCCTATCCAGGCCCGTGGAAGTCATTAGGGTGCTAATCTTACTCTGTGAATCATGGACACTGAACTGTGCAGTTAGTCTTGGGATTCATATGCAATACAATTTTAAACAGGCACCGCAACAGGGAAAAATCACAAGCACAAATAATTCCTTTACATCATAACATGACGTAATCTTTCAGTCATAGTGTTAGGATTCAGGTTACATCATAACATGACAAAATCTTTCAGTCACAGTGTTAGGATTCAGTTTACATCATAACATGACAAAATCTTTCAGTCACAGTGTTAGGATTCAGGTTACATCATAACATGACAAAATCTTTCAGTCACAGTGTTAGGATTCAGGTTACATTATAACATGACAAAATCTTTCAGTCACAGTGTTAGGATTCAGGTTACATCATAACATGACAATCTTTCAGTCAGTGTTAAGATTCAGGTTACATCATAACATGACATAATCTTTCAGTCAGTGTTAGGATTCAGGTTACATCATAACATGATGTAATCTTTCAGTCAGTGTTAGGATTCAGGTTACATCATAACATGACAAAATCTTTCAGTCACAGTGTTAGGATTCAGGTTACATCATAACATGACAAAATCTTTCAGTCACAGTGTTAGGATTCAGGTTACATCATAACATGACAAAATCTTTCAGTCATGGTGTTAGGATTCAGGTTACATCATAACATGACATAATCTTTCAGTCAGTGTTAGGATTCAGGTTACATCATAACATGATGTAATCTTTCAGTCATAGTGTTAGGATTCAGGTTACATCATAACATGACGTAATCTTTCAGTCATAGTGTTAGGATGTTTACATCATAACATGAATAATCAGTCACAGTGTTACAGGTTACATATAACATCATAATCTTTCAGTCATAATGTTGGATAGGATTCAGGTTACATCATAACATGACTTTCAGTCATAGTGTTAGGATTCAGGTTACATCATCTTTCAGTCATAGTGTTAGGATTCAGTTTACATCATAACATGACGCAATCTTTTAGTCATAGTGTTAGGATTCAGGTGGGCTGAAGAGAGCTCTTTCACATTGGAAGTCACTGACATGGCACATAATGCTATTGATGTTGATGGTGTCATATAAAAAAAAAACCATACCTGATTTGCCAGTTTAGTTTCCACTTGCAACGTAATCACTGTTATCACAGGAATTTGTTCTTGCTACAAACATTAAGAAGTTCCTTTATTGTCGCGTTTAATAATTTTTTTCCTAACTGAAACCGGTTGGCAGTCTGGTTAAAGGTTCTTTGTGTAAACAGTGGTAAAGGAAACGTGTTCACTGGCTGCAAATTCCAGTAAAGTTCTGGCTGTTTCGCCACTTCTGGACTTTATAGTCTTGTTCCAGTACTTGGGGTTTGAATGCACATCTGTTTTAGGATATGGCTTGTTTGTATGCAGACTGTTGCTTCCTCACCTCTCAGGCAGATGCACCCTAAGCACCACCTACCACCACCACCGTGTCTGGAACCCACATAGGGTATTTAAAATAACAAAATGTCGGCTTTTTTTCTCTTGAAGTGTAGTTTTTTTTCTGGGGGTAGGCAGTCTCTAAAACAATAGGTTCTAAACTATATGTATAAACAGATGTCTAGAAAGAAAAAAAAATAATTAGTCTTGAAATTTACATAAATAAATTAATAAATAGGAAATAGTTCACATTTGCCTTTAGTGACAGTTGTGGAAAATAGTTTCATATATGATATAATATCTAGTTTAATAGGATGGTAATTTGGCAACCTCTGATTCAGCGCTGAAACATTGCTTTTGACCTGTCGCGCATGAATGGCAACTTATTTAAAGTTTTTAGTTCTTTAAGCATTATTGGTGACTACCCGTTGTAGTGGCTACTAGAGGATATACAGATTTTGCTGCAGGTTTCATTCTGAAATTGCATATTCCTCATTCATTCTAATATAAAACAATTTCATCACGTGCTGCCAAAAAAGTTTATGTCATGGATAAGTCTGAAAAGTTACCCAGTTATCAGATATTTCCAAGTGCTGCTATTTACAATTTGTTCTGGCAAAGTGCTTATTGAATTCCGGACGAAAGGTAATTCATCTGCAACACTTCAGTTCAGAGCATTTTATAAAAAAGGTTTTGTGCGTTTAATTGTGAAAGGTCAAAGTGCTGTATGATTATTGCATCATAATTCAGTATATTCAAACATAATTTAAAATGATGGCTATTAGTGAACTTGTGGCTCTTGCAGTTTTAATTCAACTTCTTAAACACTGATTGGGGAAACTTATCTTCAAATTGTCCTTCAAAATTCATGCAGTGACCATTCAGAGTGATTTGAATAGCTTTAAAATATTTGGCTTCACTGATTCCTTATCTGTGTCAAGAATGTTGATCTGTTCTGTCCAAAATATAAAGCAGGTATTGAAGGAATGTTTTAATGTATCTAATACAGATACAAATATTGGATGCGCAGTATTTTTCATTTCATTTTGTGTTATTTCAGAATGCCAATATAAATTGAATTTTGCAATTTGCCACTGCAAATAAATGCATTAAAAAACCTTTATATATTCCCAAATCACCTCGATCATGCTCGTAATAAAGTTTATGGCAGTGCTGTATAGACACAGACTTGATTGTTTTGGGAACTGGCAGTACAATAGTCTTATGACTATTTTAGGTGACTCGTAGCCCCACGTTAAGATTCTGCCTAGTTTGTGTACCGAGTTGAGAATTTACTAGTGTGCCCCCTCTCCTCTGACTTATCGGAGCACTAGTAGATACATTAAGTGCAATGAGGATAATTCTTGAATTTATTTTTACAGTGTCCTTTTGCTGCGGATGTGTATTTGTGATAAAGGTAGTTGTAGCTGAGAAAATAGCTTGAATTGAGATGGTTGGGGCACCCAGTGGGAGATAAAGATGTCTTTTACGGCTCTTTATCTCTCAATGGAGCGTAGGCCCTCAGTCAACTCAAGACAAGACTAGCTTACTTAAATAATTATTTCTAAACATTTTCTTTCAGCCTGCTGAATACACTAGTTTTCTCTCTAAATGTACTGCATTGTGTTCTGCCAGTGACGCTGCAAGTGCTAAGCATATTTGCATTTCATCCGAGGCATGATTATCTTTACAAAAAAAATGTATTTCTGCGCAAAATGAACTATTGTGATTGTGTAGCCTGCTTAAGTTATGATTGTTTTAAAGATAACCACATAGTACACACAATAACGCTCTCTGTGTTTATGAATGGTGAAGAAATAGCAAGGACTGAACTTTTAAAATACCTGAGAGTAAGTTTTGTTTGGAGCCTAGGCTGCAGATTCCAGATTATATTATGATCGGAGCACTCATGGTCATGTGCGATGAAGATGATCTCTAACATGAGCTATGAACTATTTTTTAAGATGTACAGCACAATATTTTCAGTGCATTTCACTCCTCTATCCCTGCTTCCACAGATCTTTCCAGTGGTCACCCCATGTTATATTTTCCCTCTTCTAATAACATGGCCGAAGAATAATGA